AAAAAAAAAAAAAAATGGCAATGAACTGATTTGGTGTTTCACTGTTTATCATCAGGTTTTGCTGTTACAGCAGTTGATCTTCCTTCTCGAATTAGTTACTGAGATTAGCAAATATTACGGTGATAAAATTCATCGTCAAAACATCCTTTAATTTCGCTAATTCATCACGTAAATTAGAATTTTAATCTAATTTAATAATAAAGCTCTTTTAACATTAAAACAAATTAGTCGACCCCCCTATAACACAGTTGATTTTTCCGTTTTGTATGAATTCCACGTTGTACGAGTCACTTAGATTTTACAAATACGTGAGCCGTTCACAGCCCAGCACACGTAGTTGTAAAATCTAAGTGACTCGTACAACATGGTATTCATATAAAACGGAATTATCAACAGTGTTATATGGGGTCGACTATACATGCTCCATTTTTTACACTATTTTGTAAGCAATTAAGATATATACAAAAAATTTATTTTAATATTTATAATAGCTTTTTTTGTTGCAGATAAAATGATGATTTTCTTAATTATCCTGTTGAATATCGAAATTATCACTGCAGTCAATCATAATGAAATTCCATCGACTTGTTCTCTATCGGATTCTTGCGAAGATTCAAGAGCTCGTCTGTTGAATGACATTCGAGAAAGACGATGTTTATGTGATAAAGAATGTGTGACTTACGGCGATTGCTGCAAAGATTCAGATTATGGTCCTCTTAACCAAAATTCCAGTTTTCACTGTCACGTATTTACTCAATTCGGAGGAGTTTATCTAAAGGATACTTGCAGAGAAGAATGGACGGATACAGATGTTCGAGAAAAGTGTGAAGAACAATTACCTATGGAAGATCCTTTATTGCAACTTCCATTAACCAATCGCGATACGGGTATCACGTACAAAAATTATTATTGCGCTCTTTGCAATAACGCATTGGATAATTTAGAAATATGGTCATTGCAACTCGATTGCATGAGCCTAAAAAATTATAATAGTACTTATGGAAATATAACTTCAAATTATCTACTTGAGAATTTAAAATTCGACGAATATGACATGAAATGGGGCATAGATATAATGGCCGAAAATGGAAAATTTTATTTTTATGGATGCGATATTAATCCCATTATGCCGGCATTATTAGAAAATAAAATTAGATTATGTATAGAAGTGAAATCTGAATGCGATTTCCAATGGGATAATGAAGAAATTAGAGATTTATGCCATTCTTACATGTCTGCAATTTATCATTTAGACGAAGGATTTAAAAATGTGCACTGTGCAATGTGTAATTTTATCGATCGGAAAGAATTGACATGTCAGCCAGTAGAAGGACGTGAAAATATTTTCAGGACTTTCTCTGCTAACTCGTTTTCTGTACTTTTTGACATAAAAAATGTAGCTGATAATGTTGGTCAAATATGTGACCAGAATGAGATATACGACGTGTTCTTCAAACGATGTCGAACACTTATCTGTGAAAAAAGCCTCGTACGTCACGATGGTAAATGTGTAGAAAAACTTATCCTTTATCGAAACAAAAGTGAAAACATTTACTATAATAAATCTATTATTGATTTTAATTACGACAATGAATCGCTTTCTGACACGAAAGTTGATTGTGTCAAAGTTGAATTGTCATCGGAGAATTACATCGTTCTGGATAACAAAACAGTTTTCGTTCCGGCTTATAATCAATATTTTGAATATCCTTCATACGTTATACAAGAAGACAAATTACTCCTGTGCGCTAAGTTATTAACCATTAAAAAATCTAAGTTTACAGAAGAAATGGGATACATTACTATGGCTGGCTTGGGCATATCGATATTTTCTTTAATGTTGCATATAATTGCTTTTTGTATAGTGCCAGATATAAGGAATTTTTCTGGGAAGAATCTAATGTGTCTCGTTACTTCCCTTCTTCTGGCGTACTTATTTTTTATTATAGGACAGTTCACTTTTGAACAGAAATTTGCCTGTAAAGCTATCGGTATTACTACTTATTTCTTTTTCTTGGTTTCTTTTTTTTGGATGAATATTTTGGCATTCGACGTGTGGAGAACACTAAGAATGGCCACTGCGGAATTGAGAGTTTCGAGCGGTAATCAATGGAAGAGATTTTTGTTATATTCTTCTTATTGTTGGTTGATTGCAATTGCTATAGTAATATCATCTGTACTGATAGATAACACTGAAACAATTCCAGAAGAATTCAGACCTCACTTCGGCAGTTATTATTGCTGGTTTGGGAAAAGTACAGCCTTATTAATTTTCTTCGCTGGACCGGTTGCGTACGTAATGATAACCAATATGATTCTCTTCACTTTAAGTTCTCGAATGATTCTGAGAACTACAGTATCTTCTACTAATAAATGCAACAGTACAAAGAGAAATTATAAGCTTTATCTCCGTTTAGCTTTGATAATGGGACTTACATGGATTTCTGGACTAATTGCCGGTTATTTGGATCATGAAATTATGTGGTATGCCTTTATATTATTGAATACTCTTCAAGGAATGTTTATATTTGTGGCTTTTACGTGTAACAAAAAGGTATGGAATGGGATTAAACTTAAGTGGAATACATTCAAACCACTTACCGCATCCAGAACTTCCAGCTCGAATTCGAGTGGTTTTAATTTTCATATCCAAACTAGGACCCTTTCCACCAGATTATCCAAACAATCCTCTAGAAGTAATTCTAAAGAGTTTACTGCTTAAACATTTTATTTTAAAATATAATCATTTTTTTATAACGAAATATCGTAGTACAATATATATATAGTACAGATGTTAATAACATTTTACTCAGGTTATTTTTAACAATGATGCGCTTTATCAAATGTGGTGCCAGTGATTCAAAATATATTGTATATAAATTATGTATATATTTACAGTCGACCCCCCTATAACACTGTTGATTTTTCCGTTTTATATGAATTCCGTGTTGTACGAGTCACTTAGATTTTACAAATACGTGAGCCGTTTACAGCCCGGCACACGTATTTGTAAAGTCTAAGTGACTCGTACAACGTGGAATTCATATAAAACGGAAAAATCAACAGTGTTATAGGGGGGTCGACTGGTACTACATTTTGTTTTATTCAATTATCTGTCATTGTGTCGATTTTTTTTTAATATTGAAATATACTTAAGAATGTAAAATATAAGAACAGTGACTCTGTTCGTGTTCAAATAATTGTAATTTTAAATGGTAGACAAACTGAACGTAACGTAATTTTTTTTTAATTTTGCAAAATAAATATGTTGTTTGATGTATTAAACTGTTTAAAATCTTTTGCATCCTCTGCCAAGCTAAAATAATAAAACACTCCATCACGTTTAATCGTATCAAGAAGACTTCAAAGTATATAGTAAATACTGATATCACGACATTAATCTGTAGTAAAATATTTAATCGAATCTTTAAAACTAATTACAGGTGTGCAACACAGAGTTCCAAAGCTATGCCGGGCCGAGCGTGGTCAGGCATAATAATAATTCATTAATACAACTCTCGCTAATTATACACTTCCCATGTGTCTAAAGCATACCACGGACTGCTAGAAACTTAATTTACATTTAATATTTATTTATTTTACGTTTGACACACGCACTGACACTCTCGTCTCTCTTTAGAAGCCATTAAATTTAAACAAAATACATAACGAGCACGAGTATATGCATAATCTATGGCAGGGATGGACAACTTTTTTCTATATAAAGACATCATACAAAAGGGAAAAAAATGCCGGTAAATCACAATTATTTATTCCTATTTAATTATCAATTAGCATTTGATATACTTAACCCTCATTAAACTGTATTTTTAGCCCCAGCCGTTTATTAAAATTAAGTCGGACAAACTCTTTATATTAATAGAGAGGTTGCGGCCGACGTTTTCATCTCTCAAACGTGAACGTCGAACGTCGAGCGCCGCTATCTTGTAAGTGGCGCTCGACGTTCGACGTTCACGTTTTACAGATGAAAACTTCGGTCGCAATCTCGCTATTGCCACCGAATTTTCGCGTGATTTACACGTGTTTCTTTCTGATGATTGAATTTATTTCAGTGTAAACATCGCACAGTAACTAAGACACAGTAGACTATGGATATACTCACGCAATGCTGGAAAGAAATTTACTTTTTTCGCGATTTTTTAAAATATTAAAAGTTTTAAATTAGTTTTTAATACGATTTTTAAATATAAATTATTTCTGGTATTGTCTGGTAACGCCGCTTTAACACAGCTGGATAAGCAGGCCAATGACATAATTCGTTTTAAATGAAACGGGCTACGTCATTGACTTATTTATCCAGCTATATTAAAGCCGTTTTTCAGGTAAAGCGCCCAATTTTCTACCGAAATGTTGTGCTGCCATCTTTTGGTACTATTTTGAACGAACAGAACCATAAAAAAATATAGAAGGAATAATTATCAACCCAGAATGACATACTGTAATATCTATATACATATATAATTCTATTTGTAAAAAAATTTGATAAAAATTGTACACTGCTGGCCATTAAAATTGCTACACCAGGAAGGAAAACATAGCAGAATCATGTTTATTGTAGATATATAGTATAATGGGCGTAAGACTTGATTAAATTGGCAGGTAATCTTGAGGTGCAGAGCACCCAGCATGTTGTACCTTTCATGCAAATTTTGCGTTTGTTGCGCGCCCACGGTATAGCAATTTTAATGGGCAGCAGTGTAGCCTTCTTGGCATTGAAATGGGTCTTTTCATCTCTTCTGTTGGTCCATTTGATTCAGATGAACTCAAAAAAGAATTCTACTACTTGTGAAATGTTTTCAAATGGAATGTTCTGACTTTTGACTTCTTTATCTTCGCCTTTTTCCATGTTTATACGTGATCTTCTTGCTCAAGGGACCCACCTTAACAGAACCTCTAATAAAATCATTCTTTATTCTATCCTTCGTTGACACTCCACACATCCATCTCGGCCACCTCCATCTTTCTTTCTTGGGCTCTTGTTATTGCCCATGTCTCAGCTCCATATAACATTGCAGATCTAGCAACTGATTTATACAATTTTCCTTTCAGATTGCAGCTAACTTTCCACATTGAATTCTTAGAGTTCAATCCTCCTCCCATCTCGACAAATGTCCCAGGATATTTAAAACTCGGAACAAAAGGGAGCGGCACATTTTGGATTTTAATATTACACTCATCTCTACCATTCAGGGTCATATAAGCTGTTTTAGTTCTGCTAATCTTCATGCCCCTTTCTTCCAAAACTTTCCTCCAATCTTCCAGTTTCTTCTCAGCCTTGGTTTGGGAAAGTTCGCACAGCACATCGTCTGCAAACAGCATACTCCACGGAGCCTCACACTTCACGTCACACATCAACACGCCCATTATCAGGTCAAACAAATAAGGGCTAAGGGCCGATCTTTGATGCAAACCAACACTAACGAAGAACCCTTCTGTAGTGCCCAGACTACTCTTAATTTGGGTCTCTGTTTCCTCGTACATTTTCTTGACGAGCCTAACATATTTTCTGAAACATTCTTTTCCCTCAAACATCTCCATATCTCTTGCCTTGGTACCCTATCATACGCCTTTCTAGATCTATGAACACCATTTGCAAATCCTCCTGCATTTCTCTGTTCCTTTCCATCAGCTGTTTTAGAGCAAAGTCGTACTCCTTTCCGGCAAAAAGTCAAACTGTTTCTCTTCAATCTCAGATTCCTGCCTAATCCTTCTTTCTACAATTTTCTCCCAAATCTTCATAGTATTGGACAATATCTTTATACCTCTGTAATTTCCGCAATTCTGTACATCCCCTTTACCTTTAAAAATCGGCACAAGAATGTTCTTTCTCCATTCATCTGGGATCTCCTGCTGCCAGAGTTTCTTCATAAGGTCCCAGAGGATATCAATTTCCTCCTTACCCAAGCCTCAACCGAATCCGATCAGTGTCCTTTCCCCATCTTCACTTTCCTAAGCACACTTTCCACTTCTTCTCTGCTAATATCTTGCACCACTCCTTCATTTGCCTCTCCATTCTCGTATAAAGTTCTGGGGTTTTCTTCATTCAATAAATTCCTAAAATATTCTTTCCATTTTTCCTTGACCCTTTCGTAATCTTGCAATACCACTCCTTTATCATCTTTAATCGGTTTAATAGAGGTAAAATCTTTTGATGCCTTATCTCTTGCTTTGGCAATTCTTATCAACTGCCTTTCACCACCTTTTCTTTCGAAAACTTTATAAGCCTCTTCTAAAGCTTTTGCTTTCGCAATAGCCATCGCCTTTTTAGTCATTTTATTTGTCAAATGATACGTTTCTTTATCTTCAGGCCTTCCCATCAAATTCCATCTTTTCTTTGCCTCTTTCTTTTGTACAGTACATCAGCATTCCACCACCAAAGTTCCTTTCCTTCTGGCGATGTCCTCCCTGAAGTTTTTCTCAAAACCCTCTTCTCCAATTTTCAAAATGCAATTACTATTCAGCAACCACCATGTTTGCACCTCATTCGGAAACTTGATTTCTTTTAACACTTTTATCTTAAACTCTCCTTAATTCCTCCCCTTTCAATCTCCACCATTTGATCCTTTGTTCAATCTGGCTAACACAATTCTTACAATGGCCATAAGAAAGTCACAATTCACCAGAAGAACTATATGTTGTGCAGCAACACTTTCTCTATTTAACACCTTACTGTTTCTCACTTCACTCAGATGTCTTCCACGGCACAAGAAAAAATTAATCTGGCTGGATCTACCTCCACTCATGTATATAACCAGATAATTCGCTTTCTTCTCAAAGTAGGTGTTAACTAGCGCAAGGTCAAAAGCCACAGCGTGATCGATCAGTCTTTCTCCCACACTCAACCTCCCAAGAACTCTTCTTTCTGCATTCTTCCTCTTCCCAACAAGACCATTTAATCCCCCCACAGATTAATCTCTCGTTCATAGGAACACACATTTTAACTTGGTCGAGATCTGACCAAAAGTTTGTCTTTTCTTCTTCTCCACTACCTAGCTGAGGAGAATACACACGTCAAACACAATCGTAATGAAAATTCAACCAACGTCCAACTTAACGCTCATAATTCTATCACACCTTCGTTTAACTTCACAGACTCTCTGTCTTTTAGAACTTTATCAATTACGATAACAACTCCATTCCTTTTTCCTTTATTCGCACCACTCACAAACAGCTCGTACCCTTCACCAAGTTCTTTACCTTTATTATTTCCTTTTCATCTTGTCTCTTGCAGGCACAAAATGTTCACGCTCCTTCTCTGCATAAGATCAACCAACTCTCTACTCTTCCCATTCAATCTTCCGATTGTCTTCTTCCTCTTCTCTTTCTGGACTAACTTCTTTATCCGAACCCATCCTTGGTTCGGTAGCCCCAGTTTATTTGACATAGTTTTCTTGCGACATGATTACGCATCGCTTCGGGGGTACGTCTTAACACAGTTATAACTTACTTGTAGTCTAGCAAACATTCCATGTAGTTTTGGAATAGGTTTTTACGGCCGGATGCCCTTCCTATTTGTTATAAGGCTAATATTAACTTCTGTTTCACTTGCATGAGAATTTAAGTCATGCTTCAAATACGAAAACTCGTATTTATGCACTATTTTCTGCCCGTTCGGATTCTTTTTTTTTTTTTTTTAATCTACTGTATATGTAAATTACCTTAGTGTAAGAATTACTGTATTTTTTAAAAAAGAATCTCGCCCTTTTAATGGAGACGGTCCTAGAATTTATGAGGCCCTCGAGAATTTTTTGAGGACGATTAAAAGAGCGATGAAGGTAGAGATTAGATTTATTTGGGTTTACGAAGCAAAACGAATATAAAAGAGCATTCGTCGCCGGAAAAGACACTACTAAAATTGTTTTGTTTCGCTAATAGTTCATTCTAAACAAGAAAAAAAAAAACTTAATTGCCCATCTTTTATTTTCCTCTCTACACAAACGTGTTAACTTCCTGTACAAAGTTTATCCTTGTATCTATACTGTATTATACTAAGTACAATATTATATTACAATATCCTGTAATATATTGCAGTATATAATTTTTAAAAGAGTAAATAACTTCCGAAATATATACAAGTCGACCCCCCCATAACACTGTTGATTATTCCGTTTTATATGAATTCCGTGTTGTACGAGTCACTTAGATTTTACAAATACGTGAACCGTTCACAGCCCAGCACACGTATTTATAAAATCTAAGTGACTCGTACAACACGGAATTCATATAAAAAACGGAATAATCAACAGTGTTATAGGGGGGTCGACTATATACTGTATGTGTGTGTGTCTGTTAACTTTAATATCTGAGGATGGGGTAAAGATTAACAAAAGAAATTTGGCATACTAAGGGGCTAATACTATTACATTTTCGTGGTTAAAAGTCGAGGGGTTTTCGTTCTTATTGAATTATTTCTTCCGACATCGATTAACATTCGAGTTCCTATTAAAAACCCAAAATTATAGTATGGAATCTGTTGTAGAATATACTATTTAACCATCAATTTTATCAAATTTCTCAATATATTTCGCTTATTTAAATCATTATAAATATAATTGAGGTTCCTAAAAATGCACTCGACGTTGTAAATATTAAAATATTTAAGATATAAAAGTATAAATAGGACAAATCTCTTTGTTCCCGTTTATTGACTGAACAGTGTCACACGATTTAACTTACAGATCAGACTTTATCAAACAAGAATGATGAAGATAAATCGCACGATATCATCTTTTAAACCGGACATAATCACATTAAATTATCGAATTATATTGTTATTTATTTAATTAGGACAGAGCATGGATTGTGTTTAGAATCGATAGATTATAATATTAATAAAAAAAAGATGAAGATCAATGTAATAAAATCATGTCAATGCCAACAATTGTCCACATTTCTAAACGTAAATTTTCGTTAAGAAGGGTCGTGATAAAGTGCTTTTTGTTCTTTAATTATCGTGTTGCATAATTTATACGGAGTTGATGTCTACACAAATCCTTGACAAATATTTTTATACAAAATAAGGATTTAATTTATGCCATAAATTTATTAATGTAGTTTAGATAGAGGCATAAATACTCGTTAAAATATAACTAAGAATCTTAAAGTAATAAGTTATATTTAGAGGAAAATTAGAAAAATTACAAGCATTCTAGAACCATCAAAATTCATTTTTTTTCTTCTGTTAAACAGAGCGAAGAAATCGATACTTATTATTATTACAATTTGTTTTTTTTTCTTTTCTTAATTTTAAACTAAAGAATTTATTATATCCTGATTGACAACTTTGTTAATCGGGCAAAAAAATTCCTTAAAAAAAAACTAACAATCAAGAAGGAGAATTATTAAAAGATTACATACAGTCGACCCCCTTGAACACTGTTGATTATTCCGTTTTATATGAATTCCATGTTGTACGAGTCACTTAGAGTTTAGAAATATGTGTACCGGGCTGTGAACGGCTCACGTATTTGTAAAATCTAAGTGATTCGTACAACATGGAATTCATATAAAACGGAATAATCAACAGTGTTATAAGGGGGTCGACTGGTATTTCAATTAGCTAACTTATAAAATCTTATATTAATACAAGCTATAAATATTTTAAATTATTAAATTATTAGTTCTTTCTAACATTTAATGAGCAATAAAGATGTAATAATTTATAATTGCAGAACGTAAGCATTTCTAAATAATATAAGAAGTATTAAATAATTAATCTATTGTATTCTGTGTTAAAATAGGTTATACAATTAGGGAGATTTATAAGAGAAAAAGGATAAGGTTGAGGTGTAAAGTATAATAACACCTTTCCTTTAGAGTCAGAGGAACAACACTACTTTCGTTTTCCTTTAACACAGCTGTTGTCATTCGTCGTATTAAAGCGTACAGAGCCTCAGGAGTTACCTATAAAATAAGCACTTCGTACAGTCAGTCATTCAACATGTTTGTTAGGCGAAGTACAGCCTTCCTGAGTGTTATAATAGTTATACTAACTATCGCGTGTGTAGGTCTCATAGTACATACGGTTCGTACTAACTCCGGGGATTGTGTTAATAATAATAATTATCGAGAAAATCCCGGTCCTCGATATAGCAGCAGCATAGATATCGACAGTAAGAGTGAAATAACCATCACTACTACAGAATTTCTATCCACCATTACAGATACTCCTCCTCCATCTAAACAGCATCCTTGGGATTATTATCGTCTTCCTTCGAATGTGATTCCTTTAGAATATGATTTACTTCTCGATCCGAAGATAGAAGAAGGAATATTTTCTGGACGAGTGAACATCAAAGTCGATGTGAAAAAATCTAGAGATAATTTCATCGTTCATTGTTATAAAACATTAAACATCACTGGTTCTTGGATAAAGAAACGAGGAAATGATATCAAGATTAATAATAGTTTTAAATACGAAAAAAATGAATTTTATGTCATAGAAATTGAACGAGTCGAGCCAGGTCTTTACGAACTTATGTTTGAGTTCAAAGGATCTCTGGTTGGTTCCATTATTGGTTTTTATAGAAGCCAATATAAGGATCCATTCACTGGAAAAATACAGTAAGTAAATTTTATAAATTTCTCTTACTATATAACGAAATAAATATAAAACCTTATTTATCATTTATCTCATAAATATTTGATTATTTTAACTTGTTATGAATGCTGACATAAGGAAAAATGGGCGTATAAAGGAATGTTTTTAACATTTCTGGAAATTATTATGTAATTTCGTAAATCAAAATGCATTACCTCACTCGTTGACTGTTACATAAATTATTAACTATTGATGTTCAAACAAGTTTTTTCTCTGTTCTACTTCGAATAGATGATATTTCTCCTTAAAAGCTACCGTATTGTGTCGAAAAAATACTCCACCTTATGACTTTCTATTACTCTACTTAAAACTTACCAAATAACCCATTTTCTATTTCTTTTTTAGCATTCAACAAATGTTACAAAACGTTTTTTCCCCCCCTTTCTTTTATTTATTCATTAATATTAAAAAAAAAAATAATGCAACCTCACCATGAATTTAGTTATATTTTAATGCTATAACAATTTAAATTTTCTAGTGTTTTTATTACTGTTTAAACCTATCTAATTTTCGAAAATTTAACCTTCACAGATACTTAGCCACATCAAAATTCCAACCGACGTATGCACGAAGGGCTTTTCCTTGTTTTGATGAACCGAATTTTAAATCAAATTTTACCATTTCCTTAGTTCATTCTGAAAATCTCATCCCACTCTCTAACATGCCCATTGATGTGAGTTATTATTCTTTTATTCCTGAAAATATTGCAAAAATAATAATTATTATTTTTCCTTTAACTTTTATTACACGTGTGGATAAATATTTCGTAAGACGTATTGTTTATATAACACTGTTGATAATTCCGTTTTATATGAATTCCGTGTTGTACGAGTCACTTAGATTTTACAAATACGTGAGCCGTTTACAGCCCGGCACACGTATTTGTAAAATCTAAGTGACTCGTACAACATGGAATTCATATAAAACGGAATTATCAATAGTGTTATAGGGGGGTCGACTGTATATNTCTTTTCCTATAATTTGAAGATAACATGTATACGGCCCACCTGAAGTCTATGAAATTCAATTGAAACCTGCATCCACTGAAGGGTGTTCGTCAATGATTTAGAAGGAAAGAAAACACTGTGATGTCTTCTTCAGCATATTGTTAAGATAATTTTATATTATCTATAACAATTTAGAATGCATTCATTATATATACAGAATATAGAAATCGCAATTGATCCTTAATACAGTCAACACCCCTATAACACTGTTCATTATACCATTTTATATGAATTCCATGTTGTACGAATCACTTAGATTTTACAAATATGTAAGCCATTCACAGCCTGGCAAATGTATTTGTAAAATCTAAGTGACTCCTACAACATGGAATTCATAAAAAAATGGAATAATCAACAGTGTTATAGGGGGTCGACTGTATTTCTTTATTTTTTTTTTCATTTTTAAAGAAATTAAACTAATAAAATCTTATAATATTTAATTCGTAACATTTTTAAGTATTAAAATTAATAAAATTTTCATAAAATGATGTAGAAACAAACGAAAAATGGCACTAAAATCGTGACGACTTTTAAGGAATCCGTGCCCATGGTGACGTATCTGGTCTGTTTCATCGTTAGTAATTTTCAATACACTTCCGTTAATTTTACTAAAAATAGAGAGGTGAGCCATATTTTATAAAATACACTTAATTAAAACAAAAAAATCATTCATAATTCTTTTTAGATACGAGTTTATTCCACTCCGCATCAAATAGAGAAGACTCAATACGCTCTTCAAATATCCAAGACAATACTAACCAAATTTGAAGAATATTTTGGTATAGAATATCCACTACCTAAACAAGGTTATAAATCTTCATTTTTTAAAGGCATAATTACGAATTAAAATGTATTAATATTAAAAATTATAATAAATATGCTTTACAGATCTCATTGCAATACCCGACTTTGTATCAGGAGCCATGGAACATTGGGGAATTATAACTTTTCGTGAAGTTAATTTGTTATTCGATAAAATTACAACAACTCCTAAACAAAAAGAGAGAGTTGCAATAGTTATATCTCACGAATTAGCTCATATGGTAAGTTTTTATATGTTATTTTTACTCGCGAATATATTTTTTTAGATGTATAAAATCTCATTTCTTTCTCATTTAAGTGGTTTGGAAATTTAGTAACCATGAAATGGTGGGATGATCTATGGCTTAATGAAGGTTTTGCATCGTTTATCGAGTATAAAGGTGTCGATTGGGTCGAACCGAATTGGAATATGGTGAGTTTTATCGAGTTTAATGCTTCATAAATCAGTGGCATCTTATCTTAGAGACAATTGTCTGAAGACTTATCAAGAGGGGACCCCCAAAACAATCTTTTATAGAGAAATTTTTCTGCAAGAAGTTCCCCAAAGAAAAATTTCTGAAGTCCCCTAATTTAAATTTGCCTTAGCATCATTCGCCCGTGTCGTAAACAATACTAATAAGTAATTTTTTTAATTAGTTGGATCAATTTCTAATTGACGATGTACAACCTGTTATGGAAGTGGATGTTAGTAATAGTTCGCATCCTATTATTCAACCCGTTGGCCATCCCGACGAGATAAATGAAATCTTCGATATTATTTCGTATAGCAAAGTAAGCAAATTCAATCGTAGAATTTAAATAATAGACTAGTTTTTACAGTATTATAATAATTTGAACTGTGATAAACAAATTAATTATAGGGTGCTGCAGTACTTAGAATGTTAGAATTCTTTTTAGAACCAGAAAATTTTCGTAGAGGAATATCGGTAAGATTTTTTTTTCTTTAATCGAAAAAGAAATAAATTAATTACAATAGAGCATCGATTATCCGAAAGAATTCTAGTCGGAAAATTTAAATTTTCGCCATTGCTGTGGCGCTGCAATCTTTGGCTATGTGTTGGGCTACTCAAATATTTTACGTTTTTGATACTAAATTAACTTCTGAAGTATAATTTTTTATTGTTTTTATATTTTTCAATATATTTATTTTGTTCGTATAAAATAAAAAAATAATTTTTAACGATACAATAGTCTTCGTTAGGCTTAACATCGACGAAAATTCAACGCGAAGCGACACGCAACGGAGAAAAATTTCAACACGGAATAAATTAATATATTTTTTCGTACATAATTGGTTATCCGAAAAATAAGTTATCCGAACAACCCCAGTCCCCAATTGATTCGGATAAACGACGCTCTACTGT